TGCTCGATTTGAAGAATGCAATAATTTCAATTATTCACGAACAGCTGAATAAAAGACATAAGACGAAATAAAAGACAAGAAAAAGGGACTCTACTGATTAATAGAATAATATGTCACAATAAGGGACTCTACTGACGAGCAAACTAAATAATTTGAAATAAGAAAAAACTAAATAAGTCTTAGATTAAAAGAAATTCTACTGACGAGCAAACTAGATAAATCCATTTGAAAAGGAAATCCACTGACGAGGAGAACAAATAAATCAGAGCAAAAAGAGACTCTACTGACAATCAAACTATATAAATGTAAGAAATTTATATAGTTACAAGAAAATTAAATAAATAAAAAAGGACACTAGTGACAAGCAAATTAAAAAAATATTTGAAAGGGACTCTACTGACGAGCAAACTAGATAAATTCTTCAAAAAAAGGACTCTACTAACAAGCAGACCAAACAAATCAGAGCAAAAGGGACTCTACTAACGAGCAAACGAAATATCTTAGGATAAGAAAGGACTAAATACATCTTAGATGGAAATAAATCCTACTGACGAGCAAACTAGATAGATATATCCGTTTAAAAAGGGACTCTACTGACGGGCAAACTTGATAAATCAATTTGAAAAGGGACTCTACTGACGATCAATTCATACAAATTGATTTAAAAGTGAAAGGAACTCTACTGACGAGCAAACTAAACGAATAAGAAAAAGGGACTGAAAATCAATAAATCACATAAAAAGGACTCTACTGACGATCAAAATTAAAAAATGAAGATGAAAAAAAACTACTGACGATCTAAATTATTTCATCAAAGTGCAGTGCAAAGTTAATAGATTAGGGTCGAATAGAATTCAAACTAAAAAATTACATCATTAAAAAAAATATATAGTCACTGCCAAAAAAAACCTTTGGATGCATCAATGAAATCACCTTACAAGCATTTAAGACTTGTTTACGGACTAACCTAACCTAACTATACGCAACTAATAACCAACAAACTAGAGTGCAAAAAAATTTAATCAATATTTGAAATGAATCTTTAGCGTACAATAAACGAATGCATTTTAACATGCCATTCGATTATTACTTTAAAACTTATACACAATGCCCCAGGGAACGCGTTGATAACTTGAGCAAAGTTTGCAAAATCCGCATTTCACTTTTGGAGTCGCCGAACGCCAAGTATTTTTAGAATAAAATATTAAACTAACATAAATTATTTCTAAAGTACTCACCTAATGATAGAATCCTCCTTTTAGCCATGTTTTTCCAACAAAGTCCGAAAGTAAAAAGAACTAAAAATCTTAGAACACGTTGTGACAAGACCATAGATATGTTTAATGAGGATGAGACACTGCAGAGTTGTAGATGGCGCCATAGAAACTTTGACGCCATAGACAATTAGGCGCCAATTTTAAATTTAAATTTTGAGAACTATTATAAATGAATATGACAAATTGTATAACAAGTTAGGTCAATTATATTATTTATAATAATTCGGAGTTTCTGCAGGTAATTATGATGTTAGAAAAGATTGTAGATTATTTAATTTTGAACAAATTTGCAAAATAATGTATATAATTTTCACAAACTCTTTAGAAGTTACAAGAGATATTATAAATAAATGCACCAACAAAAAAAATGATCATTCAAAAAATTGCTTATATTTGACTAGGGTTTTTAAAAATCATTTCATAGTATACCGAGTTACTGTAGAAACTAATATTAGACAATATAAAAAAATTAATCTTATACATTTTCTCTAAATACCCCATTTATATTAGACGAATGGTTTGAAAGTTTAAAGAAATACTAAATAAATACATAAACCAGCTGCAAAGTTAATTCACGGTTAAAAAAATTAGATTATTTTATTTTAATATGGAATTTTTTTTATATCCGACTAGGGTTTTTTAATAATCATTTCATAGTATAGGCTTCATAAATAAAACAAATATAAAAGTATGGCTTCAATTTGTTAGGCAAGACGGTTATTACAGGGTTTTTAAAAATCATTTCATAGTATACCAAGTTACTGTAGAGACTAATATTAGATAATGATATAAAAAATTTAATTTTATACGTTTTCTCTAAATATCCCATTTATATTGAACAAATGGTTTGAAAGTTACAAGAAATACTAAATAAATACATAAACCAGTTGCAAATTCACGGTTAAATAGAGATCATTTCATTTTAATATGGATTTCTGACTATAGTAAAGGGTTTTATGATATTAGACAATTTTATAAACAATTTAATTTTCTACAAATTTGTCAAACATTTTATATATTTAATAGGAACAGTCTAAAACTCACAAGAGATATAATAAATGAACGCAAAAATAATGAAATTTGGAGTAGAACTGGTTTTTATGACATACTAATCAATAAACTGTAATTTTATTGATTATTTTTATCGCCTTTAACCTTTAAGTAAAAAATGACAACAGTTTTATTTTAAACGCACACGCAATTTCAAATTTTATTCAAATACAAAAATATTAATCTCTATTTACAAACGCACACACGCCATCACAACAATAAAACTTAAATAGTAAAAAACATATTTATATATAATATACACACATATATATATATATATATATATATATATATATATATATCAATTATCTATTATTACTTAATATTACTAACTAAATTTGTTTCCTTTCCTGGACTTAGTGGACTTTTATTTTGGCCGGTTGGAATGTCGAACCATATTTGAAGGTGAATTTAAAGACCAGATTGGCAGAAAAGACCAATATGGCCAAAGAGATAAAAATCAGGCCAATTACATCGAATAGGTAGTATTGGAACCAGTACAATTGGCGACTTGGCGACTGCATGTGATAGGCACCTAAAAATAATAGTAATAAAAGTTTATATACTTCTATCAAAAATATAAATGTGACATCAAAGAAAAGCTTTGGAAATTATCACAAATTTTATTTATACCTTTATGTCTCAAAACGTACTCCGTCCAATAAATGGCCCTTTCCAGAGGAGTCTCCTTCTGATCCCTCAGCAAATATTGCCTCTTGAGGGCTGCTATCCTGAATTGCGGTTCATGGGCAACCTAAATCAAAGACAGTATTCATCTAAATCAAGTATACTGACACAAAAACACACCATTCAAAAATTACAAAAGATAAAGATAAGTGAATAGAATTCCTGGTCAATTGGTCAATTCCTAACCTTCATTATTGCTCTATATAATCTTTCAGCAGTCAATTTTTCCAAGGACAATTTATAGGCATATCCATCTGTTTCTGCTTTAGCAGCATTTGCTTCGTGGTCACAAAAGACTGGCATGGTAACCAGAGGAATTCCATGGTAGACACTCTCAAACATACTCAGGAGACCTCCATGGGTGACAAAGACCTTCAGTCGTCTATCACCTGGGAAAAAAATAAAATAAATATAAATATATATATATATATATATATATATATATATATATGTATATATATATATATATTAGATTGTCAAATATCTCCCTTCCGCCTTTTTGTATTATAAACCAAGAGCAAAAAAGCGGAAGGGAGATATTTGACAACATATATATATATATATATATATATATATATATATATATAACAAATGTATTCTGAGTGGATAGATAGATATTAATTTAGAAATATGAACAAACAACACTCTTTTTTGCACTAATTTATTAAATAAAAATTTTCACAAACGTTTCGAGACTAGGTTTGTCTCATCATCAGTGCGTTATAAATTTAAAATCTAAAATATGGAAACTTATTTTAGCATTATGTGTTATCCATTACAAGCCGTTCACTGTACTGCATAGGTTTCCAATGAGTTTTACGTCAAGAAAATGTAACAAAGAATCATTTTCCAGTTCCTGAGTGAATTGTAAATACGAATACGAAATACATTATTTATATCTTTATTATTAAATAATACTAACGTGTCATCGACATATCTGAAATAAACCAATGGTTTGGAAGGTGGAGAGTTTAAAACATCATTTTCCAAATCTCGTAATACTAAATCTAAAACAGGACTTAATGGGCTGCCCATTGGGCAACCTCTCTTCAATTGTATAATATTTTTTATTAAAAGTGAAATATGATGCTTTTAAAAGTAATTCAATTCCTAAAATAAAAGTTTCTATCAGTGAACATGTAAATTCAACTATTTGCACCTATCTCTTCTTTATATCTGTAATAATTAGATGATGCGGAATAGTATTAAATAAATTAATAACGTCAAGACTCATAAAGAAACAATCAGGAGGAATTACTTTATGTTTTCAAATTGTATATCAAAAATTAAATGTAATTTAAATAAAATATTAAAGAATGTGTAGTAATTAAGTAACTATTTTTGAAATTACACTGAAGATGAGGCATATTAAATAAAGTGTGTGTTAAAAATCAGAGTGTTGTATTGTTCATACTTAACATTTAATATATATATATATATATATACGTGTATATATATATATATATATATATATATATATATATAAAACATATGATAAAATTGTTTCTTGGGCATCCATCCAGTTTTCAAATTTATTTGTATGGTGAGTTTCTTTACATTTGTTTATTTTATGTTTGTTTTTCACATATATACTTTCACAATAAATATTTGTTTTAAAACAAGTTTATTAAATTGGTTAGATTTATGTTTTTTTACATGTTTTTATTTATTTTTGTCTGTAATTATGTGTTTTTTATATTGTTTTAAATTGTAACCCTGAAATATTTAATTGTAGCACTGAAGATGGGTCAAATCAAGACCCAAAACGTACGTCTCTGAATAAAAACATTTTCTTTCAATAAAACTGTTTAATTACTGATGGATGCCCAAGAAACAATTTTATCATATTATTTCACCATCTGAAGAAAAACCTCTCGCTTTATATATACATATATATATATATATATATATATATATATATATATATATTAGGGTGGTCCTTAATATGGACATTTTCGAATTCCATTGCTCCCAGGGGCTCAAATTGTTCCAAATTGATAAAAAACAATTCTCTGAAAGTTTTAGCTCTTAATATTAACGTTTAGATAGAGCGCAATTCAATCAAAGTTTTGTATGGAAATAGCATGGAAAAATTTTCAAAAAATTAAAAAATGTTTTTTAGATGTAATTTAGCGAACAATGAATGAATAAAACTCATTCTTTTGTCGCTTGATTGAATTGCGCTCTATCTAAACGTTAATATTAAGAGCTAAAACTTTCAGAGAATTGTTTTTTACCAATTTGGAACCATTTTAGCCCTTGGGAGCAAGGAAATTCGAAAATGTTCATATTAAGGACCACCCTTATATATACACATATATATACGTACACGTATATATATATATATATATATATATATATATATATATATGTGTGCATAAGTAACATTTAAATTTAACCTAAGATGTCCTGCTGGGGCAACCATCTACCCAGCATGACATTTTCTGGTAAATCCTGCATCATCGACGAACCAGCTTCCCATTTCCACAAAACTCTGTAGGGCAACTTGGAAAACGTCCGAATCTACAAAAAAATAATAATATAACAATAATAAATTTTTAACTTTTGTCTATATATTATTACCAGCAGTCGTCTTAGATAATCGGGCATATTGGCAGCCTTAACCGAAGATCCCATTGAAACGTAAATGAAACCTGAATCGCCTCCCGGGATATGAAGTCTTCTAAATCCTAAAAATATTATAAATAAATATATATTACATACTAGATGACCCGACAGACATTGTCCTGTACCCATGTCTACATTTTTTTAATATAATATACTAATATTTACCGTTTACCTAAAAATAATAATTATTGTTCTTTAAAATTACTCTTCACGCCAAAATGCATATACATTTATAATATGAGCGATGCTAAATGTAGAACTGCTTTAAATAAAATGAGATTCAATGCCCATACTATATTGGAAATTGTAGTCTTTTAAATAAAATAAATGGTATAATACAACCATAACCATAACATAACACTGGTACTTTATGTTGGATTAAATTAATTTAATTTTTTGTTATTTAAGATATCCGAAATTGCATCTTAAACTTCTCCTAATCGATATCGTGAGGGTCGAATTGTATGTATTCATCTTTACTCTCCCATTTGTTGTTATAAAGTGAAATTTTCACAAATTTTAAAAATATTGTGGAAAGATTAGTAAAAGATGCAAAGAAATTATATATTGAAAAAAAAAACTATATTGAAAATTTAATATCCAAATCTTGTGTTGGCGCCCCCTAAGACGTGCACTCATATTTTTCGCACGCATCGCATTAAAGGTATGATCGGTCCTGATTAATACTTAATTTCATATTTTAAGTCAATTAATTTGTCATATCCTGTTCAATTCATTATCCTGTATCATTCAATCTGCCATACATATACTGTATTTTATATTATTTTAATTTGAGGCACATCTCAGCTGCTTTTTGGTAATAATAATGTAGACATTTCATTTTTCTTATTCATAATCATAAATTTATTATACATATTCTAATATTGTCTAGGTTCATAAGTAAATTGAAATTTTTAGCAGATGATAGTTTTCATTTGTTTTCATTAATGTCACGAATTTTTCAACTTAAAAATATACATTAATGTCTTATTTTGTTTTTTATTTTTATTGGTGATTTACAGTATTATGCTATCGGTATTTTGTCCAAACTTATATTTTGTTAAATATTTTCATGTGAGAAATAGTAATGATAGTAACAGCAAGATCGTAATGCATGCAAAATGTTTTCAAAAAGAAACTATTCATTGATCTAAGTTTTAGAGTCTTATTATGTTTTTGTGATATCATTAATATATCAATTAATTTACATTTAAACATATGTATCATATGTATAATAAAGAAATTATATACGTCTTTTTATCTGATTTTTTCTATTTATATATTAAGCTTGTTACATATAAGTAAGATATAAATGGGTTTAAACTCATATATCGGCATGTACATGAAACAAAATTATCTGATATTTAAACATTTTGCAAAAAGTTCTGAAATTATTCCATAGACTCCGAAAATTCCCCCAAGTTTTCTATCTATTTCCTTAGATAAAAATTTAACAAAAATATCATTGATGTCAAATCAAGGAGCTTCTTTTTTCACAAAGTACATATGACATTTTTTATTTAAGCAAATTTAAAGATTCTTAAAATTTTTTAAAATGTATCATTGATGATAAAAAGAGGGGCCTATTTTTTGTATTATAGTGGTTTTTTATCTAAAATAAATTTTTTATAAAAAATATCATTGAAAGAAATCGGAGGGGTAAAAACGCGCATTTATCTAATTTCAGATAAAAATTTATTAGTTTATTTATATTTATATTTATATTTCCTTATCTTATATGATTTCAATTTCTGGCACATCTCAGCTGCTTTTTGGCAATAATAATGTAGACATTTCATTTTTCTTATTCATAAGCAAAAATTTATTACACATATTCTAATATTGTCTAGGTTCATGAGTGAATTGTAATATTTGGCAGATGATAGTTTTCATTTGTTTTCAATGCAAATAATGACATGTCGTTTTTTGCATTTTTTTCCATTAATTTCTACAATATTGCACATACATCCCAGTATTTTATAATCACATACATTCTGGAAAATTTCTGTAACAAACTTCAGAAAGATTTAACAAAGTCCGAATAATCGTTTAGAAGGAGTATACAGTGAGTGCTTGTAATTTAATATGAACTTCATATAATAGCAATAAAGCTCAAATTGATTCTACGTTTTAGTTAGAAAACGTTTGTACGTGAAAAACAAAAAGAGCTGTTTTTAGGGTTTTCCCGGAAATTATTCGATTTTTTCTCGCCGTAAGAACCATTCTTAGACATCAACGAATATTTTAAATAAAAAATTGGCCAAATCGGTCCAGGCGTTGTTGACTTATGCGCTTACCAACACATTTTGCGATTCATTTTTATATATAAGATAAGATTTATTCAATATTATTTATGTATTAATTTTTTTTATCATTTATCCTTTACCTGAGGCAATGGCCTGGCAGGTTTACAATGTATGCAAGCAATTTCTGCAACATTTGGCAAATATGGTCTCGGATAGGAAACTGTATGATGTCCATTCTGAAGGATAAAACTGACATTCCTGGACAGATCGTAGACAAAGGGGACTCCTTCACCAAGGTGCTTCCTGAGGACACTCTGTAACCAGAATCTGGAAGAAAAAATAGAAAAGATGATAGAATGTTCTGGAGATCATTGTTAACTATTAAACTATTTGTTGTATGCAAAAAGTGTATATGGAAAATTTAATAACAAACTAGTGGTGTATGGCATCGTGCCCTAAGGCAAATTGATGGAACTTCCCGTACTGTAATGAAATATTCGATAAATTTTAAACGTTTTCAAATATATTATTACAAATACTGTAATTGTTTCATTATTTTTGCTATCTTGTTTGTTATATCTGAGCAAATCAAATGTAAATCTTAAATCAATTTATCTCCAGAACATTAACGAATTCAATTTCAAAAAAAAATAGTTGCCTAAAATTGCACAAAATTGAAAAAGTGCTCCCGTATAGTCACAGTCTAAACGCATTTGCGAATAATTCTGTGCGACATTTTCACTTATACTGTGCTTAACTTGGCGGCATTTTCACAAAATTGGAAAAGCAAATTAAAATATTAGAAAAAAAGAGACTCTACTGACGAGCAAATAAAAATATTAGGAAAAAGGGACTCTACTGACAAGCAAATAAAAATTTGTAAGAACAAGGGACTCTACTGACAAGCGAATTAAAATATTAGGCAAAATGGACACTACTGACGAGCAAATGAAAATATTAGGACAAAAGGGACTCTACTGATGAGCAAATAAAAATATTAGGACAAAAAGGACTCTACACAAGAGCAAATTAAAATATTAGGCAAAATGGACTCTACTGACGAGCAACCTGAAGATTTGTAAAATGATAAAGGAGTTTTAAGAAACTTTAAGAGAAAAGAAATTCTACTAACAAATGAAATTTGAATCAGGGAAAAATTGGAAAAGGCAGGTCCCGCCATTTCGAAGATACAGAGCTAAATGTGCAAAAAATAGCGTTGATCTAAAAAACTTTCTGCTTGTATTGGCAAAACAATTGCTTTTGAGGATAAAACATTATTACATCTTTTTTTTATTTTCCATAAAATATTTTTATAATTTTGGATTAAAAATTAAAAAAATGACCCAGGCTAAGCACAGTCTAAGCGCCACTCTGGTACAAATGTTTATCCGAGTGCGTTTAGACTGTTTAGGTACTGGAGCACTTTTCCAATTTTGTGAGAAAACTATTGAAAAATGTGAAAATGCCGCCAAGCTAAGCACAGTATAAGTGAAAACGTTGCACAGAATTATTTGCAAATGCGTTTAGGCTGTGACTATACGGGAGCACTTTATCAATTTTGTGCAAATTAGGCAACTATTTTTTTTTTGAAATTGAATTCGAAATGAAATGACGATTGTTATTGTTCTGGAGATAAATTGATTTAGGAATTATATTTAGATTTGCTCAGATATAACAAGATAACTAAAAATAATGAAAGTTACAGTATTTGTAATACCACGTTCAAAATGTCTCGAATATTCATTACGGTACGGGAAGTTCTAGCAATTTGCCTCAAGGCACGATGCCATGCACCACTAGTTTTCATTTTTATTTTACCTATTAAGTACATAATGAGCAGCATACATCCCAATGTACCATCCAGTGTTGAGGGCCCTGTCGAAGATGTTCATGTCGTCTGTGAAGGCCCTGCCTAAGAAAGGAGTCACTGATGAAGGTGCAGGATTTCCTGCCAGAGATAGTGAACCTGGGGAAAAAAAATAATATAATATTGTGTAATAATGCATTTAGTGTGGTTTTAATAAATAACCAAAGTACAAGGTCAGCGCACGAATGCGGAAGTGCACATATGTCACGTCCTATACTGAATAAATAGAGTAGTGATCGTCTATCAAAATCAGTGATGTCTTAGGAAAGAGTCTAGCCAAGTGATGATGTCTTGAGAGTAGTCTTAGAATATCTTAAGTGAAGATTATGTCTGTTAATTATAAGAAATAAATACAGTGTATAATACTACAAGTGGATTTTATATTGGAAGCCAGAAGTCTATCTCTTTCAGCTAATATCTTTCTGAAAGGGCTCACTACTCTGAAGAGACCTATTTATCAAACCAGTAACTCAAACTTATTCCTACTGCTCGACCCTAGGCACCAGGAAAGGGTTGGACGGACTTATCACCCTATTAGATACAGAATCTACCGTAGTTACCACTAAACTGGATTGTGGATCTACCAACTCAGGACCCCAACCCCTACCTACTACTAACAACTATATATCATTTCAATAAATAATGACAATTTAGAAAGAAAACCTTAGTAGTAATTAATTGTTTAATACATGAAGGTACTTTTGGCACAAAAATTTTGGTAAAGCACATCACCTTAATAGCATAGATCTTGATAGACAAATTAATTTTGTATCAATTTTGCAGAATATTTCATGCGCATTAGACAAACGCTTGAAGAGTTACAAGAGATATAACAAATAAATGCATTTATCAATTACATCTAGTAACAGCTTTGTACTATATGCAATGGGCATAAATAATGATATATAATTTCTATTCACCCATATAGAATCCGACAGTATTCAGGTACATAAATGGGACTCCATAATGATGGGCAAGCCCCAGGGCACATTCCGGAAAGGCTCCATCCAGAATTAAAAGGTCGAAACTTTGTCGAAGCAAAGTGTGAGTCTCTGCATCGTTGAACATCGCATCGCAGGACTAAAAAATAATAAAAATATTAATTATACTAGCTGACCCGGCAAACGTTGTTTTGCTAAGTAAGGTATATTCTAAACAATTTCTAGAGAATAAAAAATATTAATACTTTAAGTGTATAAGGATATGTTGTTTGAATGCTATATACAATGAGGTATTATAAAAACAATAAACCTCATTAGTTTGTCTATATTTTGCCTGAAAGTTTTATACACTTTCTATATGGTATAACTTAATCCAAGTCTTTTTTTGGTCTTTCGACTTATTGATTACGTTTTAAGTTTTTCAAATTCTTTTTGGATTCTGGATTTTGTGTATAATTGTAAATAATACTACTGAGCTCATACACAATTTTCAAATTTTTGCGAGGAGAGTTAGAAAATGAATTGAGTATTTCTTCTTTGACCTGCTTTTTGAAAAGTTTCAAGTAACAATCGATGAATTAAAGTAAATTTAATAAAAAGTATATATGTAGAGCAGGACGAGGCACAACGGTCCAATTAGACTTTGAGCAAATATTAATTATATTATAACAATCAATCCAATTATATCACAACAAATAACATATTACAAACAAACAATTATCTGACTACGTTCAGTAAAACTGCCAGCTACTTCATCATTGTAGAAATGTGTTTTTTTTATGTCTTTCAAAAATTTGTTATAAGCACAGTACTTGACGTGGATGCTATAGCATTCACGATTTAAATATGATAATGCCACTACGGAAACTTTTAAAGGGCGCCAACTTTTTCCTTTTTCCATAGTTGCGTAAAATAGAAGCGCAATATTTGTCGTGGATGCTATAGCATTCATCTAGTATATGACGTATAAAATATGATATTCTGACTGCTAAAACTTTTATTGGGCGCAAACGTGTTAAAATGCAAGATCACTTTTCAGTTGAAACTCCATCAGTTTTAGTTAAAACTCCATTTTCAGTTTTTCATAGTTTCTAACTTAACGTGGATGCTATAGCATTCATCTAGTATATAACGATCAAAATACGATAATACGACTACTCAAACTTTTATTGGGCGCGAACGTGTTAACGTGCAAGATTATTTTTCACTTGAAACTCGATCTTTTTTCATAGTCTCTAACTTAACGTGGATGCTATAGCATTCATCTAGTATATAACGATCAAAATACGATAATACGACTACTCAAACTTTTATTGGGCGCGAACGTGTTAACGTGCAAGATCACTTTTCACTTGAAATTCCATGTTTTTTCATAGTCTCTAATTTAACGTGGATGCTATAGCATTCATCTAATATATAACGATCTAAATACGATAATACGACTACTCAAACTTGTATTGGGCGCGAACGTGTTAACGTGCAAGATTATTTTTCAGTTGAAACTGCATCATTTTCCTTAGTCAATAATTTGACGTAGATGCTATAGCATTCATCATTAAAATATTTTTATGATTTATGATTTAGACCTTTTTACCCTATAGACGGAGTAACTTGGAAGGGCCAGGTGGCAAACAGTTTCGATGTCTTATTTTAATTTTAAAAGTATTTTTCAAAAAAATTACATTTTTAACTAATGAAAAAAATACTTTAATTATGGATTTTCAAAGATTACCGTTTATCTCCCGACAGCAAAGTCATAGGAACCAAGGTTATAGCTGGTAATACATCTTTTTCCCTCTACTTTCAAATATTGTTGTTGAACAATGCTTAACTTTACTGGTTTTTGATGCATCGGTATTGGACCTTTTTAACCCTTCATATATTTCTATCTATTCTTCGATAAATTTTGGGAAATTATAACTGGGAAAATGTTATTGGGCAAAATGTCCCTTTGTTCGATACCAAATTTAGGTTAACATAAAAAATAATATAACCTAGAAAATGTTTTATAAATACCAATTAGTATATAATTATACAAATAAAATCTTTCAGAGCACCGTGTTTGAAAAAAATATGCCAAAAAGTGCATTTTCATATTAACATTTCAAAAAAGTTGATCTAGTAACACTTGCGATCCGATTAATAAGATTTTTGTGAACAAATATAACTACGAACAAAACTATTTACTACAATTTAATCATAATTTAATAATATTCACATGAAACATCCTATTAAACGCAATTGAACATCATCTGTCAAAAACATTTGATATTTGACGTATTAGCCACCGTCCACAGTTTTATTTATATTACGCTTCTACAAAAATGTTCAAATTAAAAGTGTAAAGTTTCTAGGCGACTTTGAAATAATATCTCACCTTTCCTACAACCTACTGATTGGCACGAATTTTTCAAGACTAAAACTGGCCAAATCGGTTTAGCCGTTTTCGAGTTTTAGCGGATCATTTTATCGAGCTCCATTTTTATATATAAGATATATATATCATTTGTGTTCAAAAACTCGAATAATAGCCTAGGTATTTACTCTCCCTTACCTCAAAACCGTATCTCATGATATCCCAAGCCGAAACGGGTTCCTCTCCTCTCATCCTGGCGCCAACCAGATCCCAGTCGGTGTAGTTCTTCACGTAGAACACCAGTCCGGCTGGTGTGATCTCGTGCAGGCCGGCTGGGGGCATTGTCACCAGTCGGAGGAAAGGCACTCAGTAAGGTCACGTTGTGACCCCTTAAAGACCAAAAAGAATAATTAGATTGAATTAAATGGTTATCAGTGGTAAAATTAGTAATCATTTATCCAATTGTCGATTAGTTAGAATTAAATATTGGTCAGGAAAAGGGTCAAGAGGCACAACTAGTGTAACCGCATAAAAAAAGGTGATTTTTGGAAATTTAGATTAAAAACTCTACTTTATCAATCATTTCAAAATTTTAGGATCGTATTTATACATGTTTTAAGAATACATAGTACAATTTTTGAAGAAAAAAATTAAATATTTTTTAAGTTAAAAAAAAAGGCCCTTAACTGCTGCAGTAATTCCGGCCTTCTACGTGGATGAAATTAAAACAAAAAGAGTGCGCGTAAGGTTCACACGCGATTGAAGTGAAACTTATTTGCTACTGTACAAGATGGCATTTAAGTTAAAATAAATACATAATATAACAATTTTGAATAATATCCGTTAGTAATATGGTAACACTCGTGATGCACACATTTATTAGTTCCAATCATTATTCACATTTATATCATAATAAATTATAAATTATATATGGCATTAAAAAAATGTATAATATTTAAAAACAATAATGTAATAAAAGTCATACTTCAAATATGACATGATCGGTTTGTCATTGTAATTAACATTTACAAATGAATTTTCATTAGAAAAATGAAGTAATTGCTGATAAATAACCTTTATAATATTCGTGAATTAAACGAGCAAACTAAAATAAATTAAAGAAGGAACTCTACTGACGAACAAACTAAAATAAATTCGTAAAGGGACTCTACTGATGAACAAATTAAAATAAATTAGTAAAAGGAGTCTACTGACGAACAAACTAAAATAAATTAGTAAAGGGACTCTACTGACGAGCAAACTAAAATAAATTAGTAAAGGGATTTTACTGACAAACAAATTAAAATAAATTAGTAAAGAGACTCTACAGACGAGCAAACTGAAATAAATTAGTAAGGGGATTCTACTGACGAGCTAACCAAAATAAATATATTATGAATATATAGTGAATTATGTTAAACAACGCCTAAACAAATATTATTTTTGCAACTTCACTCATCGTGTAATAATTGTGTTTGAAGAACTTCATGTAATTAAAATTAACATACATTCATTGACTGATGGTATTTTTTTTACTTTTTCGCTGGCGATATAATCTCATTATATGAGCAGCTGTAATTATCTGTCTTGCCTAAAAAATATTATCCATTTCAATAACTTCAGAGATTTATAGAAACTACGAATAATATAGAAATAATTTCTAATCAATAAACTTACGTTTAGTACACGGCACAAATGTTTAATTTGTTTTATTATTTTCAAAAAACAGGGTTAAATATTCACATACACGACGACTAATCAAAGTCGACCCGTATAGAAATGATATTATCATCGAGATTTACATCCTAGTCGCGTCTAGAGAAGTTTTACTTAAAAAATCTCGTTAAAGTAGATAATATTGTCTGTAAAATGAACTACGATAAAGAAAAAAAAAATCAAAAATTGACAAAAGGGCGACGTTTAAAAAAAAAGTCGTATTTTACCCAAATTTTTTGGTCGTTTTTGGACTGCGATCCAATCAAAAAATCGATAGTTTATTTTACGGAGAACTATATATATATATATATATAACATGTAAAAAAATTGATAGTAGACGGATCATTTGTTTTTGAGTAATCGTAATTTTGAGTAATTTGGAAAATGCCGTTTCGAGAAAAACGCGTTTAAAGATAAAATGATCGTTATACTTTATACTATATGTATGCTCTTTAAATGGCTGTGACTCAAAAACTATTTAAGATATCGATTTAAAATTTTGGCATGTTATTTTTAAAGGTATAACCTATCGAAATATGGAAAAATTAAAAATTCCATTTTTTGAAAATTTCACACTAGTTGTGCCCCTTAGTTATTACCTATACATTGGTAAAATTAGAAATGCCTTATCGATTATCTCTTACCTGGGTATGAGGCCCCTGGCCAGTTCCCAGAAGGGAATTTTGTGGGACTTTGTGCCGCCCATGGTGACCATCAGGATGTCCGAGGCCGTCGTCATGGTTGTGGTGACTAAGAGGATGGTGACCACAAGGCTCATCGGACGAGAGAGGTCCATGGTGCAGGTTGGACTGACAAAATATAAAATAATAATTAGATAATGATAGATGATATTCTATAGGGTAAATTTGCACTCCTGTTCATAAGATAATTGATTTATTTATTTTAAATATATAGCCCACAGATTACTTCCAAGAGGACTCCAAAATACCATTGTTTTACATAATGAATAACAATTAAAATATATACAAAATTACAATATATAGTTAGTAACATAAAATGCTTAAGATAAAATTACATATAATGCAGAATGTAACAATATTATTTATAAACAGAATAAGATAAAATAGTGAGATATTTGAAAAGATAATAAAAAGGTTAACTTGTGCAGATGGAGATTATTTGATTGGGTGAAGTGTTGTGAATATCTATTTCATTATTAATTAAGTTAAAGTTAGAGGACCTAAGTAAAATAGGACCACTAAAGGATAGTTGATTGAGAATAAGAAGACAGTCTATAGAATTATTGCAAAGTTTAAATAAGACCATAATTGTACAGATAAATCGACGATAATTTAATAAGTTTAATAGAAGATAATGTGAGATTAGATGTTATAAGATAAGAGAGCTATTTTATCCGAAAAACCTATTGACTTATTCTTAACATCCCGTAGGGTAGTTATAGTAATGAGCCGAAAATGGAAAATGAAAATTTTTCCATTTCTCGACGTTTTGAAGGTTTCTGAGCATTTTACTGGCATACCTCTGAAAAAATAGATGTTTTTTTTTTTTTTGTATAACGAAGGAAATGCCTTTATGCATCCCAGACTGGTCTTCTCGGGTATGTCCGCATTTTTTCGTCCACGTTTTCGGGCGAAGGGATCAACCGATTTGAATGGTTCAAACAACATTCGATTCCTATTGATAAGGAGATGTGCTGATTATTTTTTGGCAAAGGCAGGTCTAGCCGTCTCGGAGATAAAGAGCAAAGAGTGCAGAAAATACAAGTCGAGTTTTTTAGAGAACGGAGAATTCGATTTGAATGATCTAAAAAACATTCAATTTGTAATGATTGGGAGAAGTGATGATTAGATTTTGGCGAAGGCAGACCCAGCGGTTTTAGAGATACAGAGCTAAATATACTAAAAATGGCAGTTTTTGAGAGAACTAAGAGTTTGTGTTGACAAAACAATTGCTTTTGGAAAAAAACAATACATTTTTTTGTATTGCGAAAATAATTCAGATATCAATTTTAATTGTGGCAAAAGTTTTAAAGCTCACTTATATACTTTGAATAAATAATTTCAACTTTGCAATTTAGTTTATATAATTCTTATAAATATTAGACAATGTTACAATATTAATAATAATCTATTTGAAAATATTCGGTACGGGAAGTTCCAGCAATTTGCCTTAAGGCACGATGCCATACACCACTAGTTTAAATAAGTTTGCAAGTTAATTTCGTTTTCAGTACTTTAAATAAATAAATTAATTAATTACCAAGGAAATAAATATATTAGTAAGTTAATAAATGGAATAAGAGAGTAAATAAATAATGAATAAATCAGTAAGTCAATAAAGAAATAAATAATTGAGTTAACACATAAAAAAACTAGTGGTGTATAGCATCGTGCCTCAAGGCAAATTGCTGGAACTTCCCGTACCGTAATCAAATATTCGAGAAATTTTGAACGTTTTCAAATATATTATTACAAATACTGTTACTCATTATTTTTGCTATCTTATTGTTATATCTGAGCAAATCAAATGTAAATTATAAACAAATCAATATATCTCCAGAACATGAACAATCGTCATTTCATTTCGAATTCAATTAAAAAAAAAATAGTCGCCAAATTTACACAAAATTGAAAAACTGCTCCTGTATAGTCACAAGTCTTTTTTAATCCAAAATTACAAAAAAAAAAATATGGAAAATCAAAAAAGATGTAATAATTTTTCATCCTCAAAAGCAATTGTTTTGTCAGTACAAGCAGAAAGTTTTTTAGATCATTCAAATCGGACCCTTATTTCACTTAAAAAACTGCCATTTTTTGCACATTTAGCTCTGTATCTACGAAACCGCTGGGCCTACCTTTGCCAAAAACTAACAACCACTTTTCCCCGTCATTACGAACTGAATGTTTTTGAAGCATACAAATCCGATACTCCGTTATCTCAAAAACTCGATTTGTATTTTCTGCACTCTTTGCTCTGTATCTCCGTAACGGCTAGGCCTGCCTTTGCCAAAAGCTAATCAGCACATCTCCCTATCAATATGAATCGAATGTTTTTTGAACCATTCAAATCGGTTGATCCGTGCGCCCGAAAACGTGGACGAAAAAATGCGAACATACAAAACACACAAACACACACACATCCATTTAGTTTCTGAGGTATGCCTTAAAATGTTCAGAAACCTTCAAAACGTCGAGAAATGCAAAAAATTCATTTAATGAGTGAATAAATAAATAAATACCCAAACAAATATATAAATAAAGTATAAATTTATGTAATATACATAAGATATGTTCAAATCACTATTTTATTACCCATGTTCGACATTACATTTCAATGTCCAATTATATAATTCAAAAATGTATTTATTACAATATTTGCCTTTGCATAATATAATAATACGAATCCATAAATCCAAATATTGTTTCAGTGCGACCTCCAAAATAAATAATTTTTTTCTATAGAATTACGAGACATAGAATTATGTCAGAATCTTCTTATTGAAGTCTCTTAAGACGCAAATTGTTTGTTTAAATTATTATTATTCACATCTGACTTTAGCTTTTGTATAGAAATAAATGTTTGTTTAAAACGTCGGGGAATTTCTGTGTTGGCTAACCTGTTTATAGTTATGTAATAAATAGGACTAAATGTAAGCAGCATTTCGCCTTAGAAAAATTCAAAAAAAGTTAATTAAAGAACCTATTTCTTTTCAATACTCGAATCTTAATAAACTGACATCTCGATTGACCCACTTCATAAATTTCTTCTCGAATTTCAACAAACCAAAACCTGATTTGCAACATTTCGTACCTCCGAAGAAAGTTGTAGTCTTGATGGGCATCGTGTCTTTCTTTCTTCAATTTTATCAAGTGATTTATGGAAAAATCGAATTTTGAGAAATCTTTTGGAATATGATAAGATTAATATTTATATTATTATTATTATCGATTTAATTATTTATCGATGGTCGAGTTGAAGGTATCAGGCGCGAATATGAAAGTTCTTGAGAATTTTTGCCACGGGCGATCGAAAGTGAAATTATTATTCTGTTTTGAATAAATAAATATATATATATATATATATATATTTGTAATATTTTTGCAGCCCAATCGTCGAATTAAAAAAAATCATTAAATAACAAAAATATTTATTCCATTAAACGTTTCGACACTTGATGTGTGTCATCATTTAGTAATCAAACCAGGAAAAACAACAGAAAAAATATTTATGATGTGAACACTAAATTTGTGTAAAATAATAATATACTATTATATTAACAACGAGAAATTGAAGGAGCACATATTGCCCTCCTATATTTTATGTTATTAATAGCGGTGCATTTTGAACACTGATCAAGGTTACAAGCAAGTGTAGTATGGAAAATTGATTGAACACTAAATTTGTGTAACATAATAATATATTTATTTATATTACGAATACAGGATTGAATTTAATAATTACAGAAAATAAATTATCTTAATTGAATTCATTACAGAAAAAATACAACTATTAAACAATATTAAGCCTAACATTAGTATTATCTAATACAATAACTTGAAGAAAGAAATGTTATAAAATTCAAATAGTTTATTTAAAGCTTGTAGATCTTGAGATTCTTCTTATGATAAAAAAAATCCTTTAAATATCCGTTATCCGAGAAATTGAAGGAGCACATATTGCCCTCCTATATTTTATGTTATTAATAGCGGTGCATTTTGAACACTGATCAAGGTTACAAAGCAAGCGTAGTATGGAGTGGGAGAGGGGTGTGAGAAACGAAAGGGGAAAGAGAAACAGCAAAGAAATATAAAAACGGGAGATTCTACAACTGTAAAGAATTATTTTTCATAAAATTAATAATGACTTTGTAACTGTCAATGTAAGATATGAGAGGAATTAGGAGGTTTGTTGACACAAGAAGTGTTAAGGGATATAAATAAAGACTCAACTATCTTTCTAAGGTCACAGTTTATTTCAATGTAAAGGATTGAGGGATTTGACATGTTAAAAGTGTGGTTCAATTTAACCATATGTTCCGAAAGCATCGTTTTGAATTGATTTGGGTTTGTAGAAATATATATAAATGTTGATTAACCCTCTTGTTATTTATTTGGTGTGTATAATTTTTTCATTTTTTATATATTTATATTTATTATCAACTTGTATTTATTGTAATATGTATCAAGTGTCGGAACGTTTAATGAAATAAATAATTTTGTTATTGAATCTATTACAAATAGGTTAAATTATTGCACAAATATTACAAATATGTATCATATATATATATATATATATATATATATATATATATATATATATATATATATATATATATGTATGTATATATTAGTTATGAACTATATCGGATCCCTGTAGAAGGACTCAACAAGAACAAAATACCACAAGATTTTTTAGGAAATTGAAAGCTGATGCTCAAGATACAAAAACAAGTTTAATTAGTAAAAGGTACTAAAATAATAAAAGTCTAAGAATGTCAAAAATATGATAAACCTGCTATTGACCACCCAAAAACTCACACATAATTTTTATTTCATAATTTTTGAATTAAGTGCATTTGTTTTTATAACTTTTGAACAACTTGCTTAATATAAATGAAATATTTAGTAAAATTGTATGAAATTAATTATTTTACATGAAAAACTCTGGAGCAACTCTGTGTACTCTTAAATAATAAATAAAAGTTGAATCTCTAACTATAATTATATTTGACTATTATAAATAAATTTGCATATATCAATTGAAATTTCTAAACTATCCGATTAAAATAATTTAAGTATTTAGCCAATTTGTATAAAATTAAATACTT